TACAATAGGGTTTTCGATTCCTCCAGCGGTCCAGGTCCTGTGGCCGCTAGTGCTTCACTAGACACAGGGCCCTAGGGATAGTGAACAACCCTCTTGGGGACCAAGGGGCTCAGGTCTTTTTGTGGCTGGGCGGAATCAGCCAGCCAAAGAAATTCTGATGTTACCAAGCCAAGCTCCAAGTGACCCTCAGGCTACTGCAGTGGGTGGTAAATGGAAAGAAATAGCTCTCGTCTAGGTACCTTACTCCGTATTCAGCACTATATCATCCTCAAATGTCAGAAAACGTATTCACTACTGAATCCCTGATTTTCAGTGAGAGGCAGCAGGTGCACAGTTCCTTAAATGCGCTTGCATTTCTCTTAGCTTTGCATATGCACCATGCTTGATCAAGGTCTCCTGCTGCTACCATTGTGATAGGTCCATTCTCAAAACACCATAGAGAAACTTCTGCTTTTTTAGTTTCAAAATTGAAAGATGATTCTAACAATTTACTCTTTCTCAACTTATCAGCTGAATCAAAGAACCCTTTTTATAGCAAATATTTTCCTAACATTTTTATCATGCTGAAATTAAATTCATAGACAATATAAATTAAAACGACTGATGCACAATTTCTCCCCCAAATGACCTACTTGTAATAAAAATAATTATATTTAAATAGTAAATATGTAAATATTCTACACTATCATGCTAATAATAGTCTCGCATTTGTCCCATTTGGCAATAGAAATAAAATCTGTTCATACCTCCTGTATATAGTGTCACCTGTTGCTGGTATTATTTCCAAAAAGGTGAAAACAATAAGTTTACCTTAATTATACAGTAGTTGCAAAAAGTCCTGGCGGGGAAAATCCCAGTATGTTCAGACTGGTTAAAAATATTTTGCTTATGTTGTTAAACAAAATTCACCTAAATTAATTGATAAAATTGGCTTTATCCAACTATTCATGAATCCCATCAAGCAAAAAGGAGCTCAGGAGCTATACAAAATGAAAGGCTTTCATAGGCAGAAGAAATAAAGTTAATTGTTTCAGACAAGGTTACCCTTCTTTAGGGGACACAAAAGGAGTCCATCCAGTGAATTACCACACTTACCAATGACCAGGAAATTCCAGACTGCCAGGTTGAAACTACAATTTGGTTAGTATTTAGTCTTGTTTTGGTAATATGGATTTAGCAAAAGTGACTCCATTTAAGCAGAGTTCTGAAAAAAACAGGATTTTCACCCCTGTGAATGATTCTTTGCAAAGAACTGTCCACTGCATTACAGGACATCTAAAGTGCTTGGCCCACTACCTACTAAAATACTAGTAGCCTTTGCCCATCATGGTGAAACCAAAACTGCTTACACATATTGCAAAATGTACTCTTTGGTAGGTCTGATCATTAAATCCATACCCCTACCCTGGGAACTGACCTATAGATCATTTTCACAATCAACATTCTCTTTTGCTTAGAACACATTCCATTTGCTAAGACCAATAACTTTCCTTCCAGACTCTGCCAGGATCCCAACCCTCCCAGAGAATTTCCCACCAAAAAAGACCTAGCCGAAGCCAGTTTGGCTCAGTGGATAGAGCGTCAGCCTGCGGACTGAAGGGTCCCAGGTTCGATTCCGGTCAAGGGCATGTGCCTGGGTTGCGGGCACATCCCCAGTGGGAGATGTGCAGGAGGCAGCTGGTCAATGTTTCTTTCTCATCGATGTTTCTGACTATCTCTCTCCCTTCCTCTCTGTAAAAAATCAATAAAATATATTTAAAAAGAAAAAAAAAAAAAGTCCACCTAGAGTCCTTTAAAATATCTGATTCCCTGAACCTGGATGCTGTTACCATTTTGGGGCTCAGTCCATATGGTTTCCAGAGGACCTAATCCTATATAATAAAAGCCTAATATGCAAATCGACCAAACTGTGGAACCATCGGTGGAATGACTGGTCGCTATGATGTGCACTGACTACCATGCGGCAGACACTCAACACAGGAACTGCCCCCTGGTGGTCAGTGCGCATCATAGCGAGGAGGGGGAAGGGGGAAGGGGTGCTGCTCAGCCAGAAGCTGGGCTCACAGCTGGCAAGTGTAGCGGCGGTGGCGGGTGCCTCTCCCACCTCTGCAACAGCGCTAAGGAGCAGTGTGCCGAGTGGTAAGGAACAGCAAGCAGGCGGGTGGTAAGGAGTGAGGGGTTCTGGACAGCGACAGGGCAAAGGCCAGGCTGAGGGACCCTCCCTGCTCCCAGTGCACAAATTTTGTGCACCGGGCCTCTAGTAAGTTTATATTCCTTTAACACTTTTGGCCTTGGTGCATTCTTCCTTCGGCAGCCCTAACATTTGGTGTCAAAAAACCAGGAGGATTCCAGGGGGAAAGGTTGCCATTATTCTAAATTTGATCCCCGAGTTTGCTATTCTGAGAGCAGTAGGCAGCAGCAGCTTGTTCTGGGGTTACTTCTGAATCCTACTTGGGTGACATGATCACTGGTTTGCATTAGGCCTCACTCCATTATGAGCCCTTCCAAATCACTCAAGGAGGACACTGCATCTGGAACCTCTTCTTCTTCATTGCTGACCCACGATCACACACCAGCCAATCTTATCTAAGTGAGTGACATTCCACAATTTTCCTCGTATCAAATCTTTTGTCCACTTACTCTCACTGACTTTTCCTTGCACTAAGCCAGAAGACTCCTTGAACATACAGCCTCAGGTTCTTCTGGACTTGGGATGCCCAGTCTGGAGGGTCACCCCTCGTTTCTCATGGCAATTTTTTAGCAGTGGGACACCTGTCCTAAACAGTCACCTTTGGACTTGTGGTCTGTCACTCACCCTTCCCCTGTTAGCCATGCTTATTCTCCTTATCATGGGGAACCCCTAAAATGATCCCTCCTGGCTGTCTCCTTAAAAATCTCAACTGCCTTAGACTCAGGGTGGAGATTAGGCCCAAGCCCCTCATTTTCTTTTGTAACACTGTTTGGCTACAATATAAACTAAATAATGAATCTAAATGGCCTAAAAACAGCAATTCAATTTTTACACAGTGCAATCCTATATAATAAAACCCTAATATGCAAATCAATAAAATGGTGGAACCACGGGTTGCTATGACACGCACTGACCACCAGGAGGCAGACGCTCAACGCAGGAGCTGTTCCCTGGTGGTCAGTGCTCTCCCACAGGGTGAGTGCTGCTCAGCCAGAAGCCAGGCTCATGGCTGGCGAGTGCAGAAACGGTGGCAGGAGCCTCTCCCGCCTCCGAGGCAGCGCTAAGGACCCACTCGGTGACCAGGCCTAAGTTGGCAGGGGTCACAGACTGCAAGAGGACACAGGCTGGGCTGAGGGACTTCCCCCACAACACACACACTTAGTGCACGGATGTCATGCACTGGGCCTGTAGTATTAAGATAATTGCTGTCACCACCATGGAAAATGGTTAGAGATTCCTTACATCCAGGCCTCTCTCATCCTTCAGTCCTGATCCTCTCAGTCCTGCTCTACCCATCATATCCTTCTTCTTTACACAAACATCATACCCCTAACACTTCTGATTCTGAACCTACTTTTTAAAAAATATATATTTTATTGATTTTTTACAGAGAAGAAGGGAGAGGGATAGAGAGTTAGAAACATCAATGAGAGAGAAACATCGATCAGCTGCCTCCTGCACACCCCCTACTGGGGATGTGTCCACAACCAAGGTACATGCTTTTGACCAGAATCAAACCTGGGACCCTTCAGTCTGCAAGCCAACACTCTATCCACTGAGTCAAACTGGTTAGAGCTGAACCTAACAGACCACCTAACTCCACCTCCTTATGTGCCCCTTCCCTCACTTCCCCTGACCCTTGAGAGAACTGGAGAAACTCAAGTTCAAATACAGCCTTTTCCCCATCTAACACTTGCACCTGGGCCAACCAAAGATCACCTTTCTCAACAGCCACTTCTATTCCCATGCCCATTCTAGCCCCAAGGGAGATAACAGGAACTGAGGGCATAGTCCAGGTCCACATCCCATTATCAAAGTCCGACCTTGCACAGATTGAAGAAAGACTAGGTTCTTTTTCCACCAACCCAACCACTTTTACCAAGGAATCTGAATACCTGACCCAGTCCTCAGACCTAACCTGACATGACATCTATGTCATCCTGTCCTCACCCCAGAAGAAAAGGAGTGCATCTGTCTAGCAGCTCAGAACTATGTCAACACCCTCCATAGACAGGTCATGGTGGCCAACCCAGTTTGGCACTGACACAGTCACCCAAACTGACCCGAGATGGGACTTTCAGGTCAATTCTCCAGGTACTGGCTCTGTAGCTATATGATCACCTGTCTCATTGCCGTACTCAAAACGGCTTCCCATAAGGCTGTCAACTATGACAAACTTAATGAAATCATTCAGATCCCTGATGAAAACCCAGCTCTCTCCCTCTTCCACCTCATGGAGGCCTTACAGAAATTTACCACATTAGACCCTCCACCTACCCAGAGGGAACTCTTCTTCTGAACACCATTTTATATACCAATCAGCTCTCGACTTACTATATGCCACAAACCATTCAGAAAGATCTTGTTAACCTGCC